CAACACTAGTGAGATGCACAAGATCAATTCCCTTCTAAAACACAATAATGGGTGGGAAAGGGATTAAAAGTGATCAAGAGTGAAGATTACTTCTTACGCTTATCACTTTAACTCTTCTTCTCACACGGTCATTTGTCTATACACACACACACACACACATATATATATATATGTGTGTGTGTGTGTGTGTGTGTGTGTAGGGGTACAATCAAATTAGACCACAAAAAAAATGAGAATTGTGAGAACCAATCATCATATGTCGTTTTACATCGTAAATAATGCATGTGAGTTTACAATTTGTATCATAATGTGTAACAAAAAATACTAATGATATACATTAAAAATAATCACAATTGAGAGAACATTGTATTTTCACATTTTATTGTTGCACAATATGAAACAACACATGAAAACTATTTTCAATACTTTTGTAATTCTCATTTGATTGGTCTTATACACACACATGTAGGAAAATCAAAGATTATCACAATGAATTATTAAGAACATACGAATAAGAATACACGTACCCGACTCCATTAGTTAGGCTTGAGTATGAAACGTAGATCCGAAATTATGRCTTTCCTCAACGCAAAATCCTTGATGTCCTTCCAATGGGGAGAGAATGAACGTATTGATTTTGGTGTGTGGGAACCATAACCCTAGTCGTCTTTATATAGAGTTGTAATTAGGATTCCCATTAAACCCTAATTATAACCTAATGGGCTTCCTCTCATTAAGTCCATACCAAATTGGGTTCTAACGGACTCTCTTTAATTAATCACATAATTAGCCCATTACTTAAATAGCGTAATATAATTATATAATAATATGTAAGCCCATAATTATTATTGGATTTATAAATAAATCCCAACAATCTCCCACTTGGGCTACATGTTATTCTTGATCAATTATATTTATATTTCCTTAGTGCACAACTTTATGCTATTTATTTAATTAGAACCCCTTTTAAGATACAATCTTGTCCATCTTCTATGTTCGTATGAGATCATGGCGGCTTTTGTCACTTCAATAATGTAACTTAACCTTCCATGGTCACCATACCAACATATCTAATGACATAGATCAAGCCTGGATGAGTGGCATGGAAATTACATGCAATGCGATTACAATCATGCCTATTTCCAACTGGTTCAACTTTAGTCCGTATGAGATCAATATATATAATATTCCAAACATAAGACAAAAATTAGAAAATTACATATATTCAGGATTGATCAAAAAATTTCCATAAACTGAAGTCTGTAGAAAATAAACAAATTATTGTTAATAACTTAAAACATCAATACAAACTCCCACTAAACTTTAGTGTCATCCAAAACAACACCCATGCTAGCAGTATGCTCATGAAAAACCTTAGGCACCAAGGCTTTGGTTAGTGGATCCGCAAGCATTGAGTTTGTCCCGATGTGTTCTATCATAATTTGACCATTCTGGATTCTTTCTTTAACAACCAGAAACTTTATATCTATATGTTTCGACTTTATAGAGCTCCTGTTGTTATTTGAATATAACACAGCCGAATTATTGTCACAGAATAACTTTAGAGGTCTTTCAATGCCCTCAACTATACACTGCCCCGTGACAAAATTTCGCAACCATATTCCATGATTGGATGCCTCGTAACAAGCTATGAATTCTGCTGCCATGGTTGAAGAAGCTACAAGTGTTTGTTTGACACTTTTCCAGAAAATGGCTCCTCCAGCAAGCATAAAAACATTGCCCGATGTAGATCGTCCAGTGTCTTGGCATCCACCAAAATCAGAGTCAGAAAACCCAATGATCTCTAGTTTGTCTGATTTCCTGTATGTGAGCATGTAATCTCTTGTTTTCTTTAAGTACTGCATGACCCGTTTGGCTGCTCTCCAATGATCCATTCACGGGTTACTTAGGTATCTGCCCAAAACTCCCACTATAAAAGCTATGTCAGGACGAGTACAAACTTGAGCATACATAAGGCTTCCTACAGCCGAGGCATAAAGAATCTTTTGCATTTCCTTTATTTCAAGTTCACTCTTGGGGCATTGTTTGAGACTAAACTTGTCTTCTTTTGCTATGGGCGTATCTCCTGATTTGCTATCCAGCATGCCAAATCTATCAAGGACTTTATTAATATAACTCTTTTGTGATAACCTTAGAATGCCACGAGAACGATCTCGTAGAATTTGAATTCCTAATACAAAAGAGGCATCACCAAGATCCTTCATCTCGAAATTTTTAGTGAGAAATTTCTTGGTGTCATGCAATAAAGCCAAATCGTTAGTGGCAATTAGTATGTCATCAACATACAAAATCAGAAAAATAAATTTACTCCCACTGAATTTATGATATACACAATCTTCCACCAAATTCATCTCATAACCATAGGAGGTGATCACTTGATGAAATTTGAGRTACCATTGACGGGATGCTTGTTTGAGACCATAGATGGATTTTTTTAATTTGCACACCATAGACTTCGGATCTCCTGACACAAAGTTTTCAGGTTGCACCATATAAATTATCTCATCAATGTTTCCATTGAGAAACGCTGTCTTTACATCCATCTGGTGTAACACTAAATCCAAATGAGCTACAAGTGCCACAATTGTTCTAAAAGAGTCTTTCGATGAAACTGGAGAGAAAGTCTCTTTACAGTCAATGCCTTCCTTTTGAGTGAATCCTTTTGCGACAAGACGAGCTTTATATCTTTCAATGTTACCTTTTGAATCCTTCTTGGTTTTAAATATCCATTTACAACCAATGGGTTTCACACCTTTTGGTAACTCGACAAGATACCAAACATCATTGTCTTTCATGGATTTCAGCTCATCTTCCATGGCATTAATCCATTTTTGAGAATTCGAACTAGACAAGGCTTTTGCCAAGTTGATTGGGTCATCTTCCCTTATGCCTATTTCTTCATGTTCTTGAAGAAAAACGATATAATCATCCGGAATCGCACTTTTTCTTTCTCTAATGGATCTCCTTAACGGCACTTCTTGAGCTTGTTGAGTTTGTTCAACAGGTGGAGGAACTTCAATGTAGTCTTGTTGTTCAACAGGTTGAGGAACTTCAGTGTTGTCTTGTACTAGAGGTACACCTACACTGATATCCTGAACTGGAGTTGTATCTTGAGTAATGATACGTATAAAAACGTGATCATCACTAACAACAGTGTTGGGAATAAAAGCATCTTGAACTGGAGCTTCATCATCCTCAAAGACAACATTCCTTATCTTATCTTTCCCCCCAAACTCAACATCCTCAAGAAACCTTGCGTTTCCTGTCTCAAAGAAGGATTTGGTAGTGGGATTGTAAAACTTAAAGCCCCGAGAGCGTTCTACATATCCAACAAAAAAGCAACTAATTGTTCTTGAATCTAATTTCTTTTCAAGTGGCTTGTAAGCCCTTGCCTCAGCTGGACATCCCCAAACATGCAAGTGCTTTAAACTA